AAGGTAGTGTGCAAAGAACAGTCTTTTAAAGAAATGGTTCAGTTACTTGAATTCCCAAAAGAAAAAAAAATTAATTTGGTCTTATCTTACACTATTTAAAAAGTCATTTACAGATGGATTTTAGACCTAATGGGAAAAGTCTAACAATAAAGCTTGTATAATGTGAAGTAGAAAAACAGCCTCATGACCTTAAGGTGGGTCAATCTAGAAAAGTTATAAAACTCACTAAGTGCCGGGCGGTGGTGGCGCACGCCTTTAATCCCAGCACTCGGAGGCAAAGGCAGGTGGATCGCTGTGAGTTCGAGGCCGGGCGGGACCGACAGCCTCCAAAACAATACAGAGAAACCCTGTCTCATACAAACCAAACCAAACCAAACCAAACAAAAAACAACAAAACTCACTAAGTATCAAATGAAAAACTAAGAAATTAGCCATCTTGAAATTAAGAACTTCTCATGAAAAAAGAAAGAAATAACCATATGGGTAGGAAACTTAAATGGGTTGGGAGTTACTACTACCTGCAGTTAAGGGTAAGTATTTAGAATTCAGTTAGAGATTATACTGGCTTAGGAAAACAGGCAGTAATAGGTTTTCCTCTAGGTTCTATGGCCTCTCCAGCCATGATCAATTGGATAACTTTATAGCACCAGTCATGAATCCCTTCTTACTGAGAGGGCATTAAGTCCAATTGGCCACCTATTGGTTACCCACAGGATGTAAGTGCCACTATTGCATCTTTGGGGACATTATACCATGCTGGTCATTGTCGTGATTCACAGACATCATAGCTTCTCCCTTGGCAGCTTGCAGAATCCTTTCAGTACTCTGAGAGGTAGTCCTTAGTAAAGGGGCCTCCAGATCACATTCAGATCAATTGTCAAAAAAAAAAAAATCAACAACAAAAACCCATGTCCTAAGTGTCTGGTATCCTTAGCAGTAGTCTAACATTCTTTTTCTGGAAGAAAACAAGAGTAATGGCAGTCACCTACATTGTTTTGGTAAGTCTCTTTCACTCCCCTGACCAACAACTAGAAACAAGATTTTCCATGCCTGGGAAATAGATCTATGGTTTGGGGTAAAGGATTGCCACCCCTACTGCTATAACATATGTATATAATGCATATGTGTGTATGTAACTATAAAATAATATAATTCCTAATGGCTTTTTCAAACATCCTTAGTGTTATTTATCCCTCCTTCCCTGTCTCACTGTTTTGCCCTGCCTCACCACCCCACCCCCCAGATAAGACTCCACCACCATTTTCTCATTCCCCTTTCATAGCAACTGTGTTCTACTATTACCCTCTCTAGTGTTCTTGTGTCTCCCCATGCCACTCATGCTATGACCCGTTTTTACTTTCCTGATATCTGCAATTGCATCATGCTAATTGCATCTAAAGATTCAGATTCACAAAGAAGAGAAAATGTGAAAGCCACAACTGGTCAAAAGGCAGAGACCAACTGATTGTAGGGTGCCTTCTCCCACTTAACACATTTAAAACACAACCACCATATATAAGGTTTAGGGAACATGGCCAAAGAAGCTTTGATATTAGTCATGGGGATTACTAGGAGGAGAGGGTGGATCTGGAAGGAACTGTGGGTGAGACTGTGGGTGAATATGTTCAGGATTTATTTATGAAATTCTCAAAGAATTAATGAAACATTATTTAAAAAAATAAAAAGTAAAAAGGAGTGATGTTTTATAATGTATATATTCTAGTGCAGGGATGATGTCTCAACAGGTACTGTGCTTGGATCCCCAAAACACATGTAAAATCCAGATGGACTTCAAGTTTGCACAGAGGTCATAGTCTCCAGAAGAAGAGATTGTGGATTGGTCGTTCAGTCCTTAATGGGACATCTATATCAGACCCCTGTCCTGAAGGCTCAGGTCATTCCAGAAGCAGGAGTGGAAAGATTGTAAGGGTCAGAGGTTGTGAGTGATTACAATGTGACAGTATTTCCTGGATACATGGAGATATTTGTACACATGAACTCACAGTGAGTGTGACAGCTTGCACAAGACCTGTGCAAGCTCAAACCAGACAGAATCCCAGCATGGAAGGGGGATGGTGGTACCAAGTTGCAGCCCTGGTAGAGGAGGTAGTGTCGATGGATACTTCTGCGGTGGGGGGGGGCAATTCTCCTTAAGGGTTTAACTCCTGGTAGGTGAATCATGCTTCAGGGCAGGGCCCACACAGGAGTATTTGGATAATAGAAACCGGAATCAATGGATTCAAAAGAGAAGAGTACACCATTAAGTGGGTAGAGGGTAACTAGATCTGGAAAGAGCAGGGGGTGAATATAATCAAATACAAATTCTCAAAGAGCTGATGAAAATCTATACTATTTTCAAAAAGAGAGAACCTGCCTCAATATATAAGGTAGGTAGAAATTGAAGAAGACGCCTGACATAAACCTTGTACCTGCACAGGCACATAGCTACACTGCACACACATGCACACTGCACACACATGCACACTGCACACACATGCACACTGCACACACATACACACAACACTCTTTTATAAGTATGCAAACACTTCTTATGCCTGGACTATTTAAGATTCCTTATATAAAGCAACAATAGATAATAAATTAATAATAGACAAAGTAATTGAATAGTCTCTTCACAAAAATACCACAATTTATTTTTTTAAAAAAGTCTTAAAATATGCAAATTCAGCAGTCCAAGCTTAAGTCACAATTCAGTTCAGGCCTCTTGGAGGTTAACTAACAATAGTGAGGATGTGAAGCAGCAGGGATCTCACACTGTTAGCGTGAAGGCTGCCAAGTGCATCAGCTTTTGAGAAAAGAATCTGTGGTGTCTACTAAAGCTACATATGTATACCATATGACTCAACCACTTCCCTAGGAATAGACCCACAGGAATGCATATGGACACCAAAAGATATACCCAAGAATGGTCATAGCAATGCCATCTTTACCAGCAAAAGACTGGAAGCCATAAAAATGCCTATTTGCACTACAGTTATATGAACTATGTAGGGAAACATAGAGTGTTATAAATCAGTGAGAATAAACAAATTTCCTTTTCCTGCCTAATACAAATATGAATCATAAATATAATATTAAATAAGTGAAGGATGCAATAAAAATATTTTATGTACCCTTTCAGGAGAGAGAGAAAGAGAGAGAGAGAGAGAGAGAGAGAGAGAGAGAGAGAGAAAGAGAGAGAGAGAGAGAGAACAAGTCCATGATGACAGATTGCTAAAGAGGGCTTCTGGAGAATGGGAGCGATGAAGACATTATTGGGGTGAGGACACTATCTCATAGCCAGATCAGAATGGTGGAGACACACTAAAGATACATCAAACGGTCAACTAACTGGGAAATTGTACCAAGTTAAACCTAAAATGTAAAGTTTACAAAGCTACACTAGCAAAGCTCTTGTGTCTAAGGATCTGGGCAAATTCCCCCGGAGGCCCGCGCTCAGGGTGGCAGGGTACTGTGTATCAGTAGGTCTGGGGCTGACCTCACCGATTTCTGTCTCTGCCTGAGTTTCTCCTGCTCTTCTTTGCTTCACGCTGCTGCTGCTGCTGCTTTCATTGTGAACGAGACATCTTGATCCCAAGCTTTCCTCCAGGTGCTTTGCTCTTAAAAGTTGCTTTCTCCTCTCCCCTTCTGCTTCAACATTTCACTAAAGAGTCTCTCAGATTGGGTTAGTTCTATTTTTTTTTCTGAAAATTTGTTTCATGGCCTGATTGAATGTTCTTGTTTATTTTTTTCCACTCCTTTCTGTAACCTATTGCTATATAATAAAACTTCTATTATGATTAAATTTCATCATTACTATTAGATGGTTTGGTCTGTCATCTTTATTTCCCTTCTCAATCGACAACTTAAAAAAAAATCCCCCCAACCTATGCCTTTTTGCTGAGCACAGCCAGGGCTGGGCTGGGGAGTGGGCAGAACTGGGTGTGGGCGGGGCTGGGGGAGTGGGCGGGACTGGGGGTGGGAGCCCTTTCTTATTCTTTGTCCTCCAGCTCCAGGGAAGAACCAGATGATCAAACACGCAAGGGAAAAGAGGATGAGGAGGCCTAGGCAATCTATGGGGCTCTTGGTAGTTGACCAGTATTTATTCCTGGCATACAAATGGACATTGGGTGCCCATCCCACAATGAGAGATGCACTCTCACCCTGAACTCTTGGGGGAGGTTCTAGGCCCTGTCCTGGATGAAATGACAGACTATGGACACCCCCATGGAAGAACTCACCCTCCCTGGGGAAAGGAGGGAGTATTGAGTGGGTGATAGGAGGGGGGTGGGAGGAGGGGGAGGGAGAGGGAGAGGGACGTGAGTTTGACATGTGAAGAAACCTTGTTTCTAATTTGAATTTAAATTTGAAAAAAAAATTTTTAATATTAAAAAAAGTGATTACTAAACTACACGGTTTTCACTTGCCCAAAGTGGTTGAACAGACTGCTTTCCTTGACGTGTTAGCAAAGCCACCTGACCTGCGTCCACTGAGGAACTATTTGCCCTTGCTTTTAGTTGATTATTAAAAAAAAAAAAGTCCTCTAGTCCTCAACTGGAGATGCTGAAGAAACCAGAGAGTTTGTACTTTTTTTTTCTTTTTTCAAATGCAGGTTTTGGCCAGGAGTTTTTCAAACACTGGAATAAATTTTTAATTTGGACTTTGATATCCAGACAAGCCCAGCTCATGTTCTCTTGGGTCTCCTACCCAAAGACCAGACATCAAACAGACACTGCTCACTGTCTTAGCCCAAGCGGCAGAGAGGCACACAGCAGCACGCACGGTCAACAGGAACGGCTTCTCATCCTGCCTGCCTGGGCTGCTCCCTGCTTGCTACCTCAAGCTCACCAACGGGTCCACTCTGTGGATCCAAAGCAGAGTTCTTTCACCAAGAATGAATGATGCAGACTATGGTGCACACAGTGCTAGGGGACACTGGGAATAGTCTACCTGGGGACCCTGTGCGGAGCATTCTCAAAAACACAGCTTTTTTTTTTTTAATGCTTGACTGGCAAGGGAGACGCCATGACCATGAAGGTGGTGAGAGTGAGGCTTCTCCACGGCCCTCTGGATGTGCTGACACCTATATTCCTCCGAATTCGGGAGACTCGACTGCATAATTTGCAGGAGTGGGGGACTGTGTTCACACTGGACTAAAAAAAAAGCATATAATCGCAAAGAGGGAAAAGCAAACAAATAATGCTATGCTGTGTCATTTGGCTTTCTTTGTTTTTCTTTCTTTTTCTTTGCATGTCTAACACTCTCCTCCGGGATTTGGATTGTAGAGGACAACCGCATGCTTATTGTAAATGAGATCCCAAAGTGTAACTCTTACATACATGAACTTTCTAAAACCCTGCAGGCAAAATGGAGAGCAGGAGAGAGAAAAAAGTAAAAAAGAGTTCGCTATGACAGGAACAAAAGTGGTTCATTTCCTTTTACAGCCACAGATGAGATACTGTAGGGGACTGAATCTCAGTGCCCAGCATCCCTAGAAAAGTGACCACCCAGGCAGCTACAATCATTTCCTGTTAATTGTTACCTGAAATAACCAGTTGTGGGAACAGCATCAGATGTTATTTGGGGACTGTCCAGCACACTGGTGCCCCGTAATGAGATACAAATAACTTTTACAGCAGTACTGACAGGGTCCTCAAAAGAAATAATTTCTTTTCTTATTTCAAGTCACTTAATGTAATTGCCCTGAGCCCGATGGGAGGTTGACTATTGGTCACCCAAGATCTAGGACAATTCCCCCAGTTACTCATGAGAATAAATTGCAGTTCTGACTTAAATTATGACTTTTCTCGAAGGGTGAGGGACCACTATCCACCACATCTCAGGGGGATCCGCATGGTAAAGTCTACTAGTATACTTAGGAAGTCTTCCCAGAATTCTCTACGTTAGTCCTTGACTCAGAAGTGGCCCCAGAAAGTGACTGACGCTGGTATTATATATGACTTTCCCACCAAGTCATCAGTTGGTCAAAGCTGCTATGGTTCTAACATTTGTGTACCTCCAAAATTTGTGTTGAAACTTAATTTAACTGCAAGAGTACTAGGAGTAGAATATTGGTGATTAGCTATGAAGGTTTCTATTGGTAGAATTAATATCCTTACAAAGGGTCTGGGGGAGTCACATCTCCATTCCTTCCTTCCCGTCTACCATGGTCATGACTAGTCAGGCGGCATCATCTAAGGAGAGCCAGGTCTCACTTGGTACCAACACTTGCGCCTTGACTTGGACCTCTCAGTCTCTAGAACTAGACAAATAAATTCCTACTATTTTTAAATTGCAAAGCCTAAGCTATTTTGTCCTCAGAGTCTAAATGGACTGTTATTTGTGAGTTTCTTCTACTTTCCCCCATCTTTGTACAACAAATATGGCTTACAGTCTCTCTTGCATTTCTGGAGATGGCAAGTTCCTCTCTGCATTCAACCATTTGGGAGTCTCTCTATCCTTTGAGCTCACTTGCCTCACTCCCTAAGTCCTGTCACCATCCTCAGTCTTCTGCCACGCGTTTGTAATCCCATTCTCTGCCTCCAGAGGGAGCCAGCAGCTTCCACCTCTGCATCTCTACCACATCCAGGAGCCGGCAAAATCTGTGGAAATGCCTTCCTATGTCCTATGACTGCCCCATATGCCCATACTCGCTCTTCAATTTGACTCTTGTTACCTCTCACTGGGTGGCCTTCCTGATAGTATGTCCAGGCTCCCCTGGCCCATTCACCATCATTCCATGATGGCAAATGATCATTCCCAAAGGACCGAGCTGTTTGATAGTGTCAGACACATCCTGCTAGGATGCATTGGCTTTCAAGGCTCCCTACTCTTGCCTGTGGTCCATGTAACTCTCCAGACTTTGAGACCTTCGGGCCATCACCTAATTGCAGCATCCTGCTCAGTGTGACCTAGTTTTCCATCATGTTCATGCTGGTGGGTATTAATCTGAAACTACAAGGCCAGTCCAAGCATTGTTTCAAGGGTTTTCTCCTCCTTTGTATATCCCTTCCTTCCTGGGCTGTGTTATTTGGACTATGTCCTCACCATATCTTAACCTCCATCCATTTCATCTGCCCTCCAGTGCATTTCCAGTGCTCACTACCAGGCATTGGACCCACATCCTGTGGTGAGACCGAGGTTCTTAGTCACAACTCAGGTCCCACCCCACCCACAGCCAAGAGTTGCATCCCCTGGCTCAAGCATCGGCTCTAAAACTCCATGAAGAGAGGCATGGCTTTGGTCAGATAGGCAGGAAGATGGAGGCAAGGGCGGGGAGGAGGCCTCAGGTGAGGGAAATGTACCAACACCCAGGACCAGGAGCCGGGCTGAGAGAGAAAGGGTCAGGACAGGGACTGCGACCTACTTCCCTTTTAGGCAGGAGGCCAGACATATCTGTCATTGGCTGGGCCTATGGAGAAGGAATCCTTGGACATGCGCCTGCAGCTTAGACCTCACTCCCAGTGGGTGACAAAAATAAGGTGGTTATTTGTGTTATGGAAACGGCCTCCACCAGGCTCCAAGACCAAGCTGCGTCTGCAAGGCACGCGGCAGGCTTTCCTCTGGGTGTGAGAGGATTTCCTTGGTTTGGTGGGATTCGTTTGTTTTTGAAAGGAGCCTGTTTATTTTTTTCTCCCTTTAATGTTATGATTTTTTTTAGACTCACAAGGAGGAGGATACATAATGCACAGCCGAATCTGCAATCTCCTATTTTGTCAGCTGCTTGTGTTGATTAGAAGTTCAATAAAGAGCCTGTGATAAAACAGAGCTATGTTCAAAGGATCTTGTTATGTTTTTAAAAGGCTGAGCTTGGCAGAAAAGAGGTAGCATATAGGCAGGCTGGCTTGATATATTCCTAGTCTTCCAGTTTTGGAAAGGGAGAGGACTGAGAGAAACATTCAGCAGTTTCTGGAACCTGTGTGATCCTTAGCATGCATCTAACCAAGCCCCAAATAATCAGCAGGGTTCCATTGAAGTGAGAGGGGGCTGTTTACCAAGCTGGTATGGATGGTGAGACCCAAGGGCTCCTCCTCCCCCAGCTCTGACTGACAGCTTCTCTGTGAGATGTCAGCCTCGTTCAGAGAGAGAGGAGAGGAGAAACTGAAGCAAGTGAGCTCACAGAGCTCCAGGAATTCCACACCCAGTGATTCCCCAAACTCACCCAAGATGCCATTCTAGCAAGATCCCATCGAGCTGCCAGGAACCCATTGCTTTAAAGATCAAGGATCACTCTAAGATCCCCAGAGAGGTGTCAGTGGTGCCCACCTGCTCCCCACCCCACCACCCTCCTTCCCTCTAGACAGCTGCTTCCTGGCAGTCACCAGTCTCTTGACTCTCACTCTCAAGGAGGCTGAGAAATGGCTGTATGTGAACATCAGGCTAGCCAAAGTCGCTGACTTTATGCAAAGCAGGCGAATGCAGTCAAAACACTTACAGCAATCAATTCGAGTTGTTGGGTAAAGTTTTTTCCATGTCCCATACATTATTGAACAGTTAATTTCGTCTTTGTGCCTGCAAGACATCCCAGCTCTCAGATGACAGCTTTATCCATTAAGGAGCAAGCGGTGACAGCCTTACAGTGAGAGCCTTGCCAACCCAGCCTGCAGGGAGGCGTGCCTGCATCACCACCAAGAAATCCTGGGACACATCAACATCTTAATCAATATGCGAGAGTCAATTACTGGGGAAGTGAGGGCTTAAGCAGGAGCTGATTATGAGGTTCACGGGCAAATGGGGTTTGATCAATAGGCAGCAGAATCACACAGGTGCCGTCACAACATTCCCCCCACAACAACATCCAGCCCCCACCAGAAGGCCCACATGCCCTCTTCCAGCGTCTTTTCCAAGCCACCAACCATCCACTCTCCTGGAGCTTGCTCTGTTCATTTCCTTGATAAGTCTATTGGGAATGGAGAAAGCAGGGGTTGGGGAGCAATCAAAGACAAATTTATTATTGCATACACAAGCTGAGCCCTTCTAATACACCACCTGGAAGCAAGACTTCCTCCCCATGTGCAACCAAGACAACAGCTCCCCCCATTATGTCTGCGTGAGAAGGAGCCTTGTAGAGAGCTCTCTTCTGTGTCTGTTGTGTTATCTTTTCCTGGGAGATAGATACAACTGTGGGACCTGAACCTCAAGATGGACACCTACGACAGACCAATTAATGATTTTACCAAAGTCCAACTTGGTGTATTCAAGGAGTTTATTGGACTTTCTTTTAGAACATAGGTGAGGGTTTATTTACAGGAACGTGGGTAACCCCAAAACAGCTGCATCACACCAAGTCACATCCCATCACGGATGGCAAATCTCGTGGAAGCTGCATTGTGGAGTACCACTTTCAACTGACCCTTTGTTTCTTATAGATGCTAGTAGCTCCCTAAATCACCTGAAGCTGTGGAAGAAAGTAATAGCGTAATAGCTAGGCTTCTGGTCAGGGCTGTCTTGGCAATTGCTAGGGAATGTCAGCAGATCCATTACCATTACCATAGACCTACCACAGTATTGGTCTGCTCCAGTTGCCATGGCTACTCAGGCAAAGTCCAAGACAGACAGCATCGTGTTATGTCCAGAAGAAGTCATTATACAGCAATGTTTTACTCTCTTCCTTTTCTACTGTGTCTGCAACTTTTTAACTGGCACCTGAACTCAAGAGTATCTCCTGAACTCTATTGCTGATTAGCTGTCAGATTATGTCACAGATGTCCTCAAAGACTGTCATTGTCATCCTGGGTAATAAAATCTAAACTGTGCTTTGTATTTGCAAGACTTCCAGTGGTGTGGCCCCACGAAGCTTATGATATTATTTGAGCTCTCTTCCTTAAGCACAAGTGTGCTCTTTATAACTTCATAATGGCCTTCCCTTCCTTTGTTACTTAGGGTCCCTGAAGCTGTCTCTAATTCCCTGGGTAAGAGCTGATGATACCACAAAGTGTCGGGCTGAGGTTTGTGTCTGTTTACAAGATGGATGTCTACATAATTGCTTCATCATGAGATTATCTGATCTCTGACAACAGGCTTCGGAAGGTTGTTCATAGGGGAATTGCTGCATATCTGGCCTCTCCCCTTATTACTGAAGATATTGTCATCATTGTAACCCAGGTGGTCCCCTTGTCCTCCAGTTCTGTGATGTCTCTAGCTCTCTTTACTGTTGCC